GAAGCAAACACTTGGAGGCTCTGTCAATATTCTGTTTCGGCTCGCACGCTGACGACGTGTGGGGATCTCTCCTGCCGCAGCTGTTCCTGTGCGTTCTGCAGATGCTGCCTCTCCAACGGACGTTCTGGAAACGTCTGTGAACAGGGACAGACCCCCAGCTCTGTTCTTGCTCGCCACAGCTTCTGCCCCTTCGGGCCCAGGCCCTCCCAACCAAAAACCCTTGTGAGTGGAGACTAGCTGTCGACATTTCAACAGATAGGGTCCCAGTCCCCCAGAAAATGTATTTTTCCCTTATCAGGGAAAACATTTCAAAGTATGCCTACTTTCACCGCTAGTTTTGGTGCCCCCACACATCTTTTCACTTAAGTTGCAATTTACCCCTATAAATGGCATATATGTCTTCTTTGCTGTCATTTGAAGGAAAGAAAAGGTCTAGATTTGTAAATGAGTTTTGCTTCGTAATTTCACGTCAGGCAAAATTTTGTCTGGATCTCACAGCCTGTCTGCATTGTTCTGTATCAGCCTCTCCTTTTAAAGCACAACACTAGAAAGCAAACCTTCTTATTGTGCATTGGGTGAGGGTTGACAGAGAGACCGGCTTTCCATTCAACAGCACGGACACGTTTTTTGCTTCATGCAGTCCCCACCACACAACGTCACTTAGGCTGTTTCTCGTGCTGTTTCCTGTGTCCCTTCCTCCTCCTCCCCTGGCCCTTCTGAACTTTGCCCTTGGTTAAATGCTGCCCTTTGGATCTCAAAGGGTTGGTTATTCTAAGGCATGTCTACTTCCCCAGTGTCAATGGTCCCTTTGTGGATTCTCCATTGTTTGGCGGGAAATTGTGCCTGGGGATGAACTCTTACCTAGGCCAGGTGACTATGGGACTCCACCAGCCTCTATCTGACTAGTGAGCTTGGTTGTTGTTGTTTAATATGTGTTAGAGTTTTGTTTTATGTGCCTCCTACTTCATCCAGAACTTTCTAATATGATCCCTCTCAGAGCAGTTGGTGGTGGTAGCCAGGCCCCCTCTAGTTCTTTGGGTCTCAGGGTCCGGGAGACGATGTTTCCACACATCTTTCCATTTTCAACACTCTTCTGCATTTGACCAATTTTTAACACCCTGATCTAAGCTCCAAGGGGGAAATTTCTAACGCCTGGCCTGATAGGATTCTTCACATTTAACTTTAAATGTAATAGAATTTGTATTTTTATCTTTATATGGAGAAGCATATTAGTATGTTTTGATCACTACTCTCCTGACAGTTTGTAAACCATTAGACATTTTCTAGCTTCCACTGGGTTATTTTTTTCTCCCACAAAGAGAACCATGTTCTCCTTAGAGATTTAATAGCAGCTTGGGAGCCATGTCTCAGCTTTAAGAAGAGTTTCATTACTTTTACAAACTCTACTCCAGTACATTTACTGACTGATATACAACAACGTCACTCTGATCAGACAGTCCTCAATAAATTAGCAAGGGGGAACATAACATGGCAAGAGAGAATAATGAATCACAGCTTATAAAACGAAATCGTCTTCAGCAAATGTAAATGAGTAAAGTGATCATGAGGTCTGTACTGTGCACTTTCCATGCGCGTAGAGCAACTTTGTCAATTAGCAGGGGTCTTCAACGGGGGAGGGGGTGAGAGGCTGTTGACAGGCGAATGGTAACTGGTGACATTGATGGTGAGCTAATTAATTTGGCCTCACAGCCCCCAAAAGACAACGGTGTGACATTTTGCTGACTGCGACCCCAAGAGCAGTCCGGATGCCCCATGCTGAGAGGGTGGCTAACGGGGCTGTTGCTGGCCCGGGGCATTGTTCTGGTCTTGGTCTCAGGAACTCCCCCACTGACCTACCCTAAGAT